ATAGGGGTGCATGTATCTTTTCTAATTATAGTTTGTCTGGGTATATGCCCAGGAGTGGATTACTGGATCATATGGCAATTCTATTTTTACTTTTTTGAGGAACCTCTGTACTGTTTTCCATAGTGGCTGCACAAATGTACATTCCTACCAACAGCATAGGGGGGTTCCCTTCACACCCTCTCCAGCATTTATTATTTGTAGACTTTTTAATGATGGCCATTTTGACTGGTGTGATGTGGTACCTCGTTGTTTTGATTTGCATTTCTCTAATAATTAGCAACGATGAGCATCTTTTTTGTGTGCCTATTGGCCATCCATGTGTCTTCTTTGGAGAAATGTCTATTTAGGTCTTCTGCCCCTTTTTCAACTGGGTTTTTTGTTATTAAATTGTAGGAGCTGTTTGTATATTTTTGAAGTTAGGCCCTTGTCAGTCACATCATTTGCAAATATTTTCTCCCAGTCTGTAGGTTGTCTTTTCATTTTGTTTATGGCTTCCTTTGCTGTGCAAAAGCTTGTAAGTTTCATTAGGTCCCATTTGTTTATTTTTGCTTTTATATCTATTGCCTTGGAAGAGTGACCTAAGAAAATTTCTGTAATTTACTGTTATTGTTTGTCTCTCCACAACTAGAATGCAAGCACCACAGAGAAAGAAAATTTTTATATATTTCATTTACTGAGAACAGTACCTGATATATAACAGTACTTGTTGAATTGCAGTACATTCATGAAGGAGAAACCCGGGAAGATGATCTGGATCCTGCTAGCTGCCTAGGTGTTCCAAGAAGGAGAACTAAAGCTGATGCAACTTTGTGATCTCAACCACATTTTAAACTACACTTTGATTCTCTTGCTTTCATTCCCTAGCTTTTAAAATAGTTCCAGTCAAGCAGAATTAAGCTTCTTTGTGAAATTGTTAATATGTCATGTTTAAAGACTGAGTTTTGAAGGTAGCACAAAAAGTGGGAAAGAATATGGGCTTTAGAGAGAAATCACTTCATTGTCACCTATTAAGGTGTGACTTTGGGCAAGTTACTTATCCACGGACTCTAAATTTTACCATATGTAAAATTAGAATAAAAAATGCTTTGTATGGACTAAATACACATAAAGTTATGTGAAAGTGCTTAGTATACAGTAGGTACTGGTTTATTTGGGTCCCTTCTCCTTTCTCTCATCACCAGAAAACCAGCTTTTATTACATTTCTATTTAATGTTATTACACATATTTTCAATTTAGCTCTAATTTTGGTTCCCATGACCTTTTGTTAGATTATTTTAGTAATCTTTGGTAAGCTAAAATTTCAGTACGTACAAAGAGCCCTTATACCATTTCACCAGGGCATGGGTTTGGGGGAATTGTTGGAGAAGGTCTGAGTTTCCTAGTTTTTTTACACAAAAGTAGTTTTGCCTTCATCTTGTTGTCATCCGAAATATCAACAATGCTATCCTCATTGGTTGACATTTTAGACTTTAGGGCTGGAAAGAATCAATTCCTTCCTTTTGCATATTAAGAAATTAAGTCATCTATTTGGTAAATGGCAGAGTAAAGGGTAAGAGTTCTAATTGACTTCTTGTTCAGTGCTCTTTCTACCATATTATACTTTCATCTAGATTAAATTATTTTCATCTAAATGAAATACACAATTTGATGGGTTTTGTTGTCCACATGATAATGTTGACACAAACTTTTATCACATATATTTAACTTTTTGAATAGGTGATACATGCTTGGGTCACTGAAGGGTATACATGAAAGTTAGCCTCCCTTAGCTCTGCCCCCAGCTACAAAAGGCCACCACTGCTCTGTGCATATATCCATGTATTCACCTATCATTTTACACAAATGTAAACTTTTATGTACTTTGCTGTTTTCACTTAAAAATGTGAGAGTACTATATACATGTGTTTTGCTTCTCAGAGCTCCATAACCACCTCTTCTTACTCCCAGGTGTCGTTAGTTGATTGATTTTTTAAAATTCATGAACAAGCACTTATTGAGCACTGAGTTAGGTACTATTCTAGACTCTGGGAGTGGAAGAGTAAACAAGATAGAAGAAAACCACTGTTTTCACAGAGCTTAGTTTCTTGGTTTGTGATTGGTGATATGATAGGGATACAAATAATGGTCTCTAGGATAGGCCAGAAGAGGGAGAAATGAATTTCTTCAGGCATGATCAGAGGAAGCTTTAAGGAAAAAGTGGAAATTTATTTGGATTTTAAGTGATGGGTAGAAATTCAGCAGGAAGAACTGGGAAGAAAGGGTACTCCATCATGAATATATTAGAATTTTTGTTGTTTTAGTCTTATGCAGCTGTTGTTTTGCGTGGTAGCACTTGAAGTTCTACATTTAAGGATACTATTTGCTTGACATTTTAGTAAATTGATTTCTTTTGGAGATGGCTTCTTTACTTGCAAAATAAAATTGTCTTAGAAATCAATTTCTGCTGATCTAATTCTTTTTTCTTCTAATTTGTTTACTTGAACTAGATATGAGGATTTTTATAGATGACTTCTACCTATTTGACCCTTTTCATTCAGTTATAAGAGTTTTCATCTTTGTTTTACTTTTTTCTTATAATTTGATATGTGTATGTTGTAATTAACTATTATTTGATTTAGTGCAGTTATGTGCTTACAGCAGAGGTTGTCAACCTTGGCTGTACACTAGGATCATTTGGAGAGCTTTAAAAATGCTGATGCTTAAACCCCACCTGGGTCTGGGATGTGGCCTGGGTACCAGGATTTTCAAAAGTGCCTCAGGTGATTTTACTTTGCAGGGAAACTTGGCTTATTTGGGAGGTAACCAAAACATGCTTTCTGCTTTCGGAAAGTAGGTAACCATGGTTCACCTGAGTGGTGTGATCAATCTGTCATCTCAAATCTCTTGTTTAGAATAAAGTGAAATGGTTAGAATTGGATGGCAGAATGAGGTCCTGGAGTTTGTTAGAGCACTTTTATTGTTAATCACCAAACCATAAATGGAATTAAGCATAATCTATGGAGAGAATAATTTTAAGGCCTTTAAATTCTGTGTGGGTGGGGGAAGGGATAACAGTTCTTGTTTTGATCTCTATACAAATCAAAGTTATTAGGCTCATTATGTAAGTCAGAAATTAATAAATCTGTTTTTACAGCCTATAACAATTATTAATTTATTGTTAGTATAGTTAGGCAAACATTGTTCTCAAGCTCTTGTTTACTTTGTCACCTACTTTCAATGTAATAAGTACTCCATTACCGTAAGAGGATCTTTGTTTATTCCAGTAACAAGGTGTTGCACAAGGACTTGTGAACTCAAATAGTTACCTCCCTGAGGTATCAGACCTTCCAGAAGGAAACCAAACTGAACCATAGACTACTCCTTTCTTTTATTCTGAAAAATGATCTAGTCTATTTCCAGCTTGGAATTGGGAACTGTCGTCAGGTTAGGGATGTTTACTGTGATTTCACTGTTGGGTTTGAAGTATCGTGAATTCCCAGATACACCCATATCTTGCAGTATGGACTACAAACTTCTTGTACATCTATGTAGCATATTAGCACGCTGTCTGAAACTAGTGGGGCTCAGTGAATAGAACAGATAATCAGACAAAATTGGGTTCAAAGCCCAGATTTTCTATTTATAAGCTGTATTACCTTGATTTACTTAACTTATTTAACCTTAGTTTCCAAGTCTGGAAAACTGGGGGAAATGATACCTAAGTTCCAAGTTTGTTAATGAGGTAAAATAGTTTAGATTCTTAACATAGTGCCTGCCCACAGTTGGTCTGTAATAGATAATAGTGCCCTGGTTTTGATATTGAATTACTCTAGAGAATTATTCTAGTGAAATGATACTTGAGAACAAATCAAGCTCTATATTTTCTTATTGAATCTATTATGAATCTTATTAATAATGTCTGTTGGGAGTGGTGTATATGAGTCACATTTTATGTAGCTGAATTTTTAAATACTTGTGAACTTCTCATAAACCTGATAATATCCTGATAAAGGTGTTGATACCATACCTGTGTTTATTGTGATAGGTTTTATAACTTTCATTATGTTTAGAGACATTTTACAAGAACTTGAAGATTCTTGAAGTATGAAGGGAGAAGTTAGAAAGTTGATAGTATAGACTGGGCAGTATAGTATAGTCAGGGCACAACCCCTAGGTTCATACATACACAATGAAAATATAAGTGAAGTGTAATAGGCCATGTTGAGGCATAGCCAAACTAATTAGTTCATTCATTACAAAATGTTTATTGTGTTCCTCCGTGTGCCCAAATAAGATCATCATGGTAATGACTCCTATTTTCTGCCTTTCAAAATTGTTCTCATTTTTAAAGGCGTAATTCAAATGTGGTCTATTTGATGAAGTCACCCCTCCCCCTCACACAACTTAAAAGGAATTTCTTTTTCCTCCATTCTGTCAGCATGTGATCTCTACCCTGGCACTGGCACTTATTTCACTGTTTCATATTAAAAGCGGGGCTGCAACTAAGTTACAGGCATTGGGTTTGAAGGTTGTATGGGGTCCTGGTTAAGGGCACTGGTTTTAACATCAGAGAGATGTTATTTTCATCTCTACTTTGTCACTTACTTTCTTTGTGAAGATTTGTCCTTTCTGAGCTCAATTTACTTATCTGTTAGATGGGGATAAAAGCTTCTACCTTATAGTTTTGTTGAAAGTTTAAGTGGTATAAGTGACCTGAGATAGTAAATGTTCAACAAATGGTAGTGAATATTGTTATTGTTGTTCTTGTTTGTGTAAAGCATGTTATTTATTGTATGCAAATATGATACATGACTTAAAACCTCCTCCTTTAGATTGTGCACTTTTAAAAACGGGGGACTATTGCTTGGCATTTTTACATAAGGTTTAGTAAATTAATATTTGTTGATTAACTACATTAACTTTCATCTCTCCTTGACTTTTAAAAAGAAGAATATTGGCATATATCAAAAAAATGTCATAAAAGTTGTTTTCTAATGCCTTTGTTTTAAAATCACTGCAGGTCCCTTCTTATCTCATAATGTCAATGTCCTGAAATCTGAGGATTCCACCAAGATAATATGATAGGAACTTTCAGTGATTTGGAGCCGTATCCTACTTAGACTAATGCGGGCCTTCCAGGTTTCCTAAGAGCTTGTACAGCAGCACACACTGCTGTTGTTAATCGGCACAGGCAAGAATGCCATCTTTGCCTCAAGAAAGAGGTAAGCAGCTTGATTTAATCATGTGTACCTATTATGTGGCTGTATTATAGATCATCACTGCTAATTTTTTTAAGAATTAAAAATTAATTGGGGACTCGAAGAATCAGCATTTATAATTTTACCTTGTGGGGGGCATTTATGTTCTCTGGTATGGAGTTTTTTGTTATTTCAGTGATGTTTGGTTGGTTTACATTTCTTTTAAAGTTATTCAGGGACCCTCTCCCCTGGATCTGAATACAGAATTGCCTTATCAAAGCACGATGAAAAGGAAAGTCAGAAAGAAGAAAAAGAAGGGAACCATTACAGCAAATGTTGCTGGGACAAAGTTTGAAATTGGTAGGTCTCCTCAGAATCATGAGATTTTCATAATTGTCGGAAAAACTAATTTGATGTTGAAAACAACATAGAAATTCAGAGATAATTATCTTCTCAGAGATAATTATCTTCTATGTAATGGATTTTTGAATGGCTTCTATAAAATTTTCTTTTTTTATGAGATATTTAACATGTCAGTAATCAAATAGAACATCACTGTAAACTAAAAAGCTTTAGTTATTGATGGGATTGGATTAAATATATATGATTTTGATTAATACTTAGTTTTTAAATCAAGTGTAAAGTAATATGAGCAGTGAAACCAATGGTTCTAGCTTTAATCTTTAAATACAGAAGTGCTTAGGAAAATTGTATTGTTGTAATGCATTTTTCACTTGGGGCTAAAATTATGTTTAATCTTTAACGTTCATTATTTTGTAAATCTTTTTTTTTTTTTTTTTTTTTTTGCTGTACGCGGGCCTCTCACTGTTGTGGCCTCTCCTGTTGCGGAGCACAGGCTCCGGACGCGCAGGCTCAGCAGCCATGGCTCACGGGCCCAGCCGCTCCGCGGCATGTGGGATCCTCCCGGACTGGGGCACGAACCTGTGTCCCCTGCATTGGCAGGCAGACTCTCAACCACTGCGCCACCAGGGAAGCCCTGTAAATCATTTTAAAAACAGATTAAAAATGTAAAATGAAAAGTGCAGAATTTGAGATTTATATTAAACAATGAGAACCTGACAATAGAGTAAGAACATATTTCTGTCTATGCTTTAAAAATTATTTTGATGATACTGTTGCCTTTTATTAATAGAATTTTAGTTTTTATATGTAAGCAGTATCTGCAGTGGAGAGAATAAGTAAGAATTAATTACCTTAAATTAAGATACTTCTGCCCGGCACTGAGAAACTCATTACTACTACAAGTACTCAAAAAATCTTCCTCTTTTTAAAACATAATTTTGCATTAAAAGAGTTGAGGAAACCATGTGAATCTCAAGGATGTTAATTATTCTTACTCTTATTAACCTTTGAGGGTCGTGTTTCCACTTACAGTAATTCACCAAAGTTCATCAGGGGTCAATGGAATATTTCATAGGAATCGAGGTCCCCTAATACTCTATTTCAACAAGTGTTCCTCAGAGGAAAAAACTTTGGGCGAGTTAGTGTGGAAGGGTGAGATGTGAATTATGTGTAGCGTATTTTCTAGAGTGAAAAAACAAGAGTAACTGTTGTCAAGGTGACTAATGGGCGGTGTCAACTTATCCTCCTGTTTGCTGTTAAGGTCTTGGTGGGGTTTATAAGCAACTTGATCTAAAGGAGAGTGTTTTTGACTGTAGTTCCCTCTCACTTCTAAGGGCTGAAGTTGCATTAGCCTTCTTCACACTGATTCCAGACCTCTTTGCTGAGCCTGCTCAGTTGTGTTTAGCAAAAGCCCTGGCTAGATCAGGCTTGGAGACTTGGACAAGGGACTGCTGGGAGAATACAAAGCTAAGTATAGGGGAGGGAAAGAGACAATTGGCTGTGTGTCCAGGAGAAAGTGTTACCTTGCTTTCCCTTATTTAACCTTGTGATATGCAACAGATTACTTGTAATTTAATTACTGCTCCTTTGACAGGTTGAATTATATAATAGAAAGATAATTAATCCATAGTCAGGACACTTGTGTTTTGTTCCTGGTGTTGCCTGTTTCCTCATGTAGAATACTTTGATCACTACTAGTCTTAATATTAATTCTTTTATAACCCTGGACCAAATATTTTCACATGAATTACCTCATTTAATCTTCCAGTAACCCTGTCAAATAGGCTGCATTACTCCCTTGTTGTCCTTTTCCCTGACTTTCCTCACTCTAATAGTGAATTTGAAGTGGCTAACAGCCATAAGAAAATAAATAAGGAAAAATAAAAACAGTAAAATAGGATGAATCTTGTGGCTGATCAGAATACAAACTGCATTCCATGAAATCCTGTATAGAGATGTGCATGGGTTTGACTCTGAGCTTCCTAGTAAGCAAAGCAAATAATCGAAACATAATCAGCTATATAGAATACACAGTGCCCAGAAGATAAAACCATACTGGTTATTCAAGAGAAATGCAATTTTTTTCTAATTCCGAGTCTTGAGAGAAATTTCTCCCATAATTCCTCTTGGAGACACGTTGTGGAATGGGGAACTACATTCTCACACTAGTCCTATAATTAATACATTATGAAATTTTAATTATTACTTTTTAAAATGCCCCTTAGCACAGTTGAAGAAACTGAAGCTCACTGAGAGTTAGCAACTTACTCAAGATCGTACAGATGGCAAAAGTAGAACTTGAATCTGAATTAATTTGCTTCCAAATTTAGTGTTCTTTTTACTCTATCATACTGCCTAAATAAAATATGAATTGAAATTTAAATTGAGGAACATTAAGGTGTCCTCTGTATCTAAAATTCAGAGAGTTGTTGCATGGATTCCTATTTTTAAAACTCCTGAACAGCCTCTGAAAGCTCTATGGGTCAAGGTAAAAAAAAAGTAGGACAAATTTGTGAGGAATGGATTTTTGGTAATTTTCATTAAATGGGGACAAGACAGATTGGAGAAGGGGGTACTTAATTATGCAAGGGGAAATGTGAGAAAAATGGTTGGTGTGGTTATCTCTATTTTATCAGTGGGGAGTTTGGTTTGGTAGAAATTCAATATTGAGGCAATTACTTCACTTCTTTTTGTACAGAGAGCTCCTAAAAGACCAACATTTAAAAGCACGGATTTAGGCTTTGGCTGCCAACAGCCTTCTATTTGAAACTGACATGTTAAAGGAAGTTCTTTTCTATGCAGTGGAGGATGGTATACTTAAAAAGATGCCAATTGATTTCTAAAACTTCAATTCAAACAAAAATATGATTAAATAGCTTAGCTGAAAAAAAAAGTGACAGTTTAATACCCTACATTGTATTTTTCTTTGAAGTTCAACTTTGTCAGCTCTCCAAGCTTTGAATTTCATAATAAGAGAGATTTATATATGACCGACCTTACAAATTTGACTTTAGAATCTAAAAAAAGAATGGATCTTTTCCACCATTATGTACCCTGAATGTTCCCAGCCTCACCAGCTCATGTGTACATTAATACCCACATTTTAGTAGCTCATTATACTCCCTCCGTCCATAACTGCCACCAGTTCCATCTCTCTCCTCAGGGGTTTCCCAGTTATTTGAGAGGCCCAGGGCAATGACTTCCATGCACTCAGAAATGGGTCTGCCCCTGAGCTGCGGTTCTGGCCTTGTCATTGTTTTCTGCTTGTGAACCAGTGAAAGAACTCTCCTAGGCTGTGTCACTACGGTCCTTGCCCTCCCCACGAGCTCTAGATGACACAGAAGCTCTTGGGCCCTCAGGACGCCAGCACTGCATGGTGGTCTGCAGCAGAGAGAGGAACAGCCCTTTCCCCAAATTCTTGTACTGTACGTTGTCACGTAGGTCTTCAGAACAATCCCACGTTTTATCAAGCTTCTCATGGATAAAAGCAACTTCACCTCAACAATCCCTTCCCTGACCTCATCCGTCTCCAGTCACTGTCCTCTTCTTTTATTATGCCTGTGTTCTAGGCATTATTGCATAAAAAGCCCATTCTTTCTCCTCAGCCAAAAAGAAATCAAGAGTCCCTAGGACTTGACCAGCAGGTGTCTGGTCATCAGTTGCATACTTGAGCCAAGTACATTCAGACAATTAATCCCTTTTTACCGTATCTCCCCATATATAGGGCAGTAAAAAGAAAATGTTTAAAAATAAACATCGAAGTGCTGCTAATTTGTTACGCCATTCTATTAAGACTCCAAATTCTGTTGGAACCTAAATTTATCCTAAGTATTTGCTGATCTTTATTCTAAATTTGAACTTCATTGGAAGAAAAATGTCAATATGTTAATTGTGTAATTGTGATATCAATGTGTTGATTGTGAAATCTAAACAACAAGATTTTCTCTGAGCATAAATTTTTTCCATAGGATTAGAGGGTTGGGAGCAGATAGGAGGGCCAGAGTTTCCAAATCTCTACTGTAATTCTGCTTCATTATTTTGTATCCTGTGTCAATATAGCTGACTTGGTTTTAACTGCTAAAAATAATTTGAACTAGGGAGGTGGAAAATATAGGATAGGTCTAATGATCGGGGCTATTTTTATCTTTTCCTTTTTGTACCTAACCCAAGGTCATGAAAAAGCCATAAGTACATTTTCCTGAGTAGAGGTGTTGTCAGCTGTGTGTGTATTTTCACTATGCTATGAATAATCACTAAACTCTTTAATAGTGTTTGTACCTGTTAAATCTCAGAAAATTGAAACTAAGGATTTTGGGTGCCACTTAAAAACAGTTCTCTGTTGCTATTGAGTATAATTTGGCATTAAATTGTTGTAGCTAAAGATAAGGTTATGCTATAACTAATGGAAATTTTACAAGTGAAATACTGTGAGCTAAAATTTATATATATCAAAAAATATTTTCATAATGAATGTATTTCAGAAGTATTTTAATTTTGGTTTAACTTAACTGTTTACTTACAGTTCGTTTAGTAATAGATGAAATGGGATTTATGAAAACGCCAGATGAGGATGAAACAAGTAACCTTATATGGTGTGATTCAGCTGTTCAGCAGGAGAAGATTGCAGAGCTGCGAAATTACCAGGTGGGAAATTAATCATGACCAATTTTTGGTCAGTAGGAAAGTTATATGAATTCCATTATAAGTTTCTTTAGATAAGGCTCTTAATAAGTTGACATATTAAATTTCAGTTCTAATTTACCTGAATAGCCTGTTTTGTTGCTGTCCAGTTATACTGACTCTTTGCCTGAAGACTGCATCCTCTCAAATTTAACTTTTAACCTCTTTCCATCTTTAAGGAAGAATTGATAGAGGAAAACTCTTCCTACGCTGGTGCTTTGCATTATGCTTAAAGATGAACAATGTGGAGTAGATTGCATAAAGAGATCTGAACACAGATATCCCTTGTAATGTCAGCTATGTGTAATTTGGCTTCATTATTTTATTTCTGGAATGTAATACAAACATATTAAAAAATAAAAAAGCCAAATACATGGAATTTTAGACAATTGAGATTTTGAATAGTTCTTCCTGTTAGTGTAGAGGGTTATACAAAATTGACTGTAGGCAACAAATTAGTCCATTTTCATCAGGTTTTTTGTTTTCTACTAAAAAAAATTAAACTCAAAGAATGAATGTAACTTTATTATAGTATAAATGAATATATTCATTAAGTTAATGAAAATATTAATGTTGACCTTTTTATTTTCCAGAGGATCAACCATTTTCCAGGAATGGGGGAGATCTGTAGGAAGGATTTCCTAGCAAGAAATATGACCAAGTAATCTTCATTTTCTTGTAGTAGAGAAGACCTGTTCAAAAATTACATTTTGAATGTCATAGTGCTATCTTTCACAAATTTATATTGATTTGAAATGATATTTTGTTGGAAGAGATAGAATTTTAGAGCTAGGAGTGTTTTAAAATTTTCCTGGTTCTATTCTTTGACTTTGCAGAGGAGGTAATTGAGGGTCAGAGACATGAATATCTTGCACAAAGTCAAATAGCTAACAGCAGAGCTGGAGTAGAAACCTGGTCTCCAGAATTTCAAGGTTCTTTTCACTGCAACTTGCTGTCTCTCTAGCAGCATAAGTTTTTCTTTTAAATGTAAAAAGTTTTCTGTACATGGCATTCAATATATACTTAATTATTTTCAGTTAAACCTTGCAGGAACTAATTTGTTGCATTATATCCCACCTGTGGGTATGTATGTGTTCAGAATACTGGTTATTGAGCATCTAATATGAGCCAGGCACTGTAATAGGTGCCTGTGTGCACACATATACGCATACACACGTATATGTTCCTACCTGGGGATACATGCACACATATTTATCTCAGAGACCATTATTTAGAGTAATAATCTGCTTTCATGGGAAAAACTGTTAACAGGTAAAGTGTTATACTGAATATACTGCGGAATTTTTGTGCAGCTTATATTTCTGTTGATTAGATTTTTTTTTATTTTAAGAAAGTTGATAAATTGTATGCTTGGATTTTTTTCTAAATATAACAAAGAATGGTATCATTCATAAACACCTCATGGTTAGTTTTAAAATGTATTGTTCTATTAAAGCTTTAACTTGATCTAATTTCACATTATTGTTAAAATATAATAAATACATGCAAAGGTGTTGGAAATAAAAACAAGTACATTAGTACTGTTATTGTGCTTCCTTTAGATGTGTGTGTGTGTGTGTGTGTGTGTGTATGTGTGTGTGTGTTTCAAAGCAATCAGTGTTAGCCTATTTGGTACTGAGATTATTTACCTGGTTGGCTTATTTTGGATTTGACAGATGTAGTTGGTGATTATTTTCCTTCTCATAGAGGAAACGTAACTTTTTTTATCGGGTTCTCTTGAAAGAGCACTTGAAATATGTAACTGTATGACCTTCCAGTTTTTGTGGAAGCCAGGTAGCTTATATATTCCACACCCTAGTCTTACAGTATAGGCCCTGCTTCTGTGCATATTATATACTATGGTCCCATTTTAGTTTTAACTGATCTCGTTTGGAAACAGTAACTACTCATCTATAAAAGACTTGCATACATTTATAAAGAAGACTTTTTGAAACAATCAGATTTTCTTAAATAGGTAATATTTTAAAATATTTCTAAGGATTTTAAAATTGTTATTGGGAATCAGTATGTACCAAATAATTAGCATTTGGATTAATCAAAAGCAAACATTTTATACCTAGTATTGTATCAGTATCCCTAAGTTATGTACCAAATAGGCAGCCTGATTTATAGCAAATACAAAAATGTCAGGACATACATTGTAGCCATAAAACTACATGTATAGGTAGATGTAGTTGATGTAAACAAAACCTGACTCAGAGGCTTCAATGGTTTTCTCACAAAAGTAGTAAAACTCCAGAAAACACCGGGGGTAAAAGGCAATCTAAAATTTTTCCCTATGGATGACCCAGCAAACTCCAAATCATCTTTTAAGAAGCAATATGAATGGCACCTGGCTGTGAACCGTACTAACCACCCGCATCCCAGAGGCAGAGTTAATGCCGCCTTCCACATGTTACCTTGCCTTATGTAGCTTTATTGCACCTATCACACTGTATTTAATTAATAGCCTACATATAAATTCCTTAGAACAGAGACCATGTTAATCCTCAGTGCCCAACACGTAGTATATACTCAAATGTTTGATCTACTAATATGTAAATTAATACATGGGGCAGAAATTCTTGTCTATTTTTTCCACTAATGTATCCCTAGTATCTAGAATAGTGCCTAACATATAGTAGGTGATTAATAGGCATTTTAAAAAATTAATGAATTGATCAATAAATGAAGAAATGGAGGGAATTTAAATCCTTGTAGTAAATGTCAGTAGCACAGAGAAAGAAAGTTTAGATAAGTTTGAATAGAAATTACTTTTCATATTATCTCTAACTTACAGAATGATCAAGTCCCGGCCTCTGGATTATACCTTTGTTCCTCGAACATGGATCTTCCCTGCTGAATATACACAATTTCAGAATTATATGAAAGAATTAAAGAAAAAAAGAAAGCAGAAGACTTTTATAGTAAAACCAGCTAATGGTGCAATGGGTCATGGGTAGGTATTTTTCATATGGAATACATAAAAATTTTAAAAAATTGGGGGAAAGAATAAGTGTGACCATTTGCTCATGGTTGAGTACTAATATGAAAAAAAAATAAAATAGCTTTCTAACTTTTGCTTTTTTGGAACTAAATATTTAATGAGCCCTTTTACCCTGTCCTGGAGACTTCAATAATTCAATCTAAAAATTTAATCAACAGGTTGTGAGACTTTGATAGGAGACTACAAAATAGAGAAAGTAAATATTTTCTAATTTTTTTCTTAAACATAAAATTTGCATTCATCATAATTTTAGAGTAAGCTTGGAGAGGAAAATCAGTTGATACAATAGAGCTAAATTGAGTTGGTGAATGAAATGGAAAGGGTGTTACTGTTTTCATCTTAAAAAAAAAATCTTAAGCACAAAATATCTATTTTCTTTGCTTTACAAATGATTTTTTTCTTTATGTAGCCATGGTAATTGGATTGAAGATGAGTAGAACACATTTTAAGTTAAAGTGCTGAGAACTAGACCTGTTAGCTGGGGATAGATTATACAACTTAATATTGCTGTTTACTTTTGCTTTCTTATGTTAGTTTTCTGCTGTTTACTTTTTCAAAGAAAATGTGGCTGAAGCTACTTTTAATAAAAACACAAGTAATTTTTATCTTTGATTTAGAGTGCTGTGGGGAAAAAAGATATTTGGAAATATAGCTGCCAGGTAAATTACTGTTCAACACATTTCCTTTTAACTTTTAATCATAATTTAATAATTTAATCAGACATTATTTTAAACTGTGGTTTAGTGACTTAAAAGACAAACGACATGTAGTGTTAGTGGAAATTGTATATTAATTGTTTAATGTAAATTTGGTTCACTATATGTTAGTATCAAGGTAAACATTTTGGGGAAGATAATTGAAGTTCACATTTTCTCAATTTTAATGTTAAAAATTATGTTAAAAATTCATTTTTATATATATTTAATGTTAGTATAATAGTTAATAATATTAATTGACTACAGTAATAAAATAGCTGAAAAAGTATACTATACATACTGTGCTGCCATGGTTTATCTCACGCAATGCAGAAGTACATAGGTAAAGTACACCTCTCTCATCTGTAGAATATATCTATTTCCTTGCTGGTTTTCTGTTTAATTGTCCTGTTCATTATTGAGAGTGGGGGGCATTGAACACTTCAGCTGCTATTGTTGAACTGTCTATCTGTGCCTTCAATTCTATCAGTTTTTGCTTCATATATTTTGGAGCTCTGTTGTGAGGTGCATATGTTTATAATTATTATATCTTCTTGATGCATTGACTTTTAAAAATTATTATATTACTGTTCTTCTTCGTCTGTTGCAGTACTTTTTGTCTTAAAGTCTATTTTGTCTGATACTAGTATAGCCACTTCAGTTCTCTCTTGGTTACTGTTTGCATGGAATATCTTTTCCATTTGTTCAGTTTCAGCCTATTTAAGTCTTTGAATATAAAGTGTGGCTCTTGTTGACAGCATGTAGTTGGGCCATATTTTTTATACATTCTGCCAAATCTTGTCTTTCAACTGGAGAGTTAATCCATTCTTATTTATTATGTAATTATTGATAAGGAAAGATTTACTTTTGGCATTTTGCTATTTGTTTTCTTTATGTCTTATATAGTTTTCATACCTCAATTTCTCCATTTCTGCCTTCTTGTGTATTACATGGGTATTTTCTAGTGTACCATTTTAATTTCATTGTCATTTATTTTACTATATATTTTTTGAGTTATTTTTTAAATGGTTGCTTTGGGGTTACAATTAGCATCTCCATTTATAACAACCTAGTTTGGATTAATATCATTACTTTTAACAGTAAAAACAACAACAACAACAACAAAACTTGCTTCTATTTGCTTCTGCCCCCTTTATGATGTTTTTGTCACAAATTACACCTGTATGTATTATGTACCCATCAAAATAGATTTATAATAATTGTTTTATGCAGTTGTGTTGTAAATAATACAGGAAAAATAAGCAGTTACAAACCTAAACTACACTAGTAGTGACTTTTATTTTTACCTATGTAGTAATCTTTACAGGTGCTCTTTATTTCTTTGTGTAGATTTGAATTACTGCCTAGTGTCCCTTTGCTTCAGCCTGAAGGATTGTCTTTAGCATTTCTTATAGGCCAGGTATAATAGCAACAAAATCTCTCAGTTTTTGTTTATCTGGTAATGTCTTAATTTCTCTTTCAATTTTGAATATTTTGTCAGGTATAGATTTCTTGGTTAACAGTTTTTTTTTTTTTCTTTTTCTATCAGCACTTTGAATATGTCATCTTACTGTGTTCTGCCCTCCATTGTTTCTGATGAGAAATTAGCTCTTTATCTTAATGAGGATCCCTTGGGTGGGATGAGTGGCCTGTCTTGCTACTTTTTTCTCTTTCTCTAGGCTTTTGACAGTTTGATTAGAACATGTCTTAGTGTGGCTCTCTTTGAGTTTATCTTACTTGAAATTTATTAGGCTTCTTGATTTGTAGGTTAATATTTTTCATCAGATTGGGAGATTCTCAGCCATTAATTCTTCAAAGAGTCTTTTTGCCCCTCTCTCTTTTCTTCTTTTGAGACACCCATTATTAGTGTGTTGATATTATTGATGTTGTCTTGCAGGACTCTTAAGCTCTGTTCATTTTTCTTCATTCTTTTTCCTTTCTGTTCCTCAGACTAATCTCAATTGATTTATCTTCAGGTTTACTGAGTCTTTCCCTGCCTTCCCACATCTTCTGTTTAGCCCCTCTAATGTATTTTTGTTTCAGTTATTGTACTTTTCAACTTCAGAATTTTTGTTTGGTTACCCCCACCTACCCCGCCACCTTTAAAAGTAATTTCTATCTCTACTGATATTCTGCATTGGTGAGATATTATTCCCATGGTTTCCTTCAGTTCTTTGTACATGATTTCCTTTAGCTCTTTGAACAAATTTAAAATAGTTGATTTAAATAATTTATTGTCTAGTAAGCCAAATGTCTGGGTTTCCTCAGGTATAGTTTCTATTAATTGAGAATTTTTTTTGTGTATGGGTCATACTTTTTTTTTTTTGAATGACTCATGATATTTTGTTGAAAATTGGACATTTTGTGTATTGTAATGTAGCAACTCTGACAATTAGATTCTCCCTCCTCTACAGGGTTTTTTGTTACCATTTGTTCTAGTTGATGTTTATTTGTTTAGTGACCTTTCTGAAATAATTTTGTAAAGTTTGTATTTTTTAATTGTGTGTGACCTCTGAAGTTCCTGTTCTGTTAGATCAGTGGTCAGTGTAATTGTCCAATCCGTTAGTAATTGAACAGAAATTTCCTTAAACACTGGGAACCAAATATCTGTATCTATACCTATATCCATATACACACACACATATATATATGTGTGTGTGTGTGTATATGGATATAGGTATAGATATACATATATATCCCCCAATCCTTGCAGATGGGGGGTGTGTGTGTGTGTGTGTGTTAGAACATGCCTTCAACACTTAGCTAGGTAGTTTATAACTCTGCCTTAGCCTTCACCTCCTACTTGATGGTTAGCTGGAGGTAAGAGCTTAGGGCCATCTCAGGTCTTTCCTGAGCATGCACTTAGCCCTGGGCATTCATATGGTCTTCTAGAATCCCAGAAATATATGAGAGCTTTTCAAAGTCCTTATTCCCCAAAGATTGTCATTCCTGTCTTTCCCCCCAATCTTTGCAGTTAGTCTGATGGTTTTCCCAACTGCTATTTGTTGCAGGGACTACTACATTTGTCTTTAAATGTTTTCAATATTGTCTCTGCCGACCACCCCCCCCCCCCCCCCCCCCCGCAAGTAGCTGCCTCAGCACTGGGAGAGTTTGCAGTTAGACAAGATAAAAGAAAACCTTTGAGATTGTCCAGGGAACCACAGAACTGAATTAAACAAATAGACAAACAAACAGACAAACAAAACAACCACAAGAATAGGTCTGTTCTACTGCCTCTAGAACCAGAACCTGTACTGGGAACACAGGTTACTGCTCAAGGCCACTGCTGAGCTGGGGGTTGGGGGTGGTACCAGAGTAAATTAAAATGCTAGGAATCTCTTTTACACAGATTCAGCTGTTTTTTTTTGTTGTTGTTTGTTTGTTTTTTATTACATGTTCCTTGGTTAGTATCCATGGTTCTAAAAAAGTTACTTCTGACAGTATTTTTATGCTGTATTTTTTTTGTGTGTGTGTGATGGGACCACTTTCCTCTTGAGTATTACCTATAACTTTGTTAAAATCCTGACTCCATAACAAATTATTCTTTTAACCTTTTCTTTAAATTTAGGATTTCTTTGATAAGAAATGGTGACAAACTTCCATCTCAGGATCATTTGATTGTTCAAGAATACATTGAAAAGCCTTTCCTAATGGAAGGTTACAAGTTTGATTTACGAATTTATATTCTGGTAACATCGTGTGATCCACTAAAAATATTTCTCTACCACGATGGACTTGTGCGAATGGGAACAGAGAAGTACATTCCACCTAATGAGACCAATTTGGTAAGTGATACCAGACACTATGATTTTATTAATTTATTCAACATCTATTTTTAAAACACCTATTGTGTATAAATGTTAAATGAACAAAGTTCCTCCTCTCAGGCTTTTATAGTCTAGAAGAATTATATACATAAATAAGACTGCCTCTAATTTAAGACAGCTTTGTGAAAATTAGAAAAAAAAGTGCCTGCTTCTCCAGGTAGGCTAATTAGGAAAATACACCCCATCTGGGTGCTGTGAGCATGAGGATGGATTTCGAAGTATATATGTGTGTGTAGTGGTACTGGATAGAAATGATTGATACAGAAATACAAATTAAAATAATATGCAATTGAGAAATACAGATAAAGTGTTATAGAATTGAGTGTAGGAATAGGTTTTGTTCAGCTTCTCATGGGAGAGGTGGTATTTGAGCAGTCTTTGTATGAAAGGTATGGTTTAAACATGTAGAATGTGGGAGAAAGTATATGAAACAGAGAAAGCAAAAGTTATCAGAAAGTAGAGTTATTTTTTGTTGGAACAAAAGAGAAGATTTCAAATTTATGTTGATCAATTGTGAAGTAGAGACATAAATTGGCAGTTTCATAGTACGTTTTTAATTCTGTTAAGTGGAGATTTTTGTAAGTATTTTTCCATTAAGATTATCTTTGTGTAACCATAACATATTGATGAAAGTCATAACTGTAGTTTATGAAGGTCAAACTGTAATTTATTATCATAATTTATCATGAAAGTCATAAATGTAATTTATAGTTTATGAGAGACAAACCGTAGTTTATTATCCATACTTCAAAGTTTAGTTAACCTCTACCTCTATTTTTGGATCTACTAATTACAGTAAAAAAATATACCTAATTAAGGATTGTTTCCCATTTTTGTCAAAGGCCTGGTTATTGTTCTATAATATTATGCACATAAATGACTACATTGAGTGGTCATTTTCCAAAATTAAATGACTAATCATAAATGTTGCTACGTTCAATTAACTAAAAAATGTTGTAAACCTGGCAAAGGAAGAATAAGGGAACTGTCAAAGTTTTTACAGGGAAGGAAGATAAAAGAAAGAATCATCTCTTCAAAGCTCATAAGGTGTGGATACATCCAAGCTCCAAGAAATGTTTGAACTCCACTGCATTCTAGACATTGTGCTGGTTTGGGAAAAATGGTGACCAAGACAGATACAGTACTTGATCTCACAAAAGCAACAATCTAGTGGGGAGGCAGAAAATAAAATAAGCAATTATAATACCCAGTGGTAAGTGTAATGGTTTAAGAAACTGAGAATGCTATGGCAGTGCATAGCAGGAACATCTAACTCAGTTGGAGATACAGTTAGAGAGGGAGTTTGTAAAGTGAAATCTGAAGAGTGAGGGGTTAGCTAAGTTAGAGGTGGGGTGGGATGGGTTAAGACTCCAGGTAGAAGAATGGCCCAGAGGTAGGAGGGAGAGTGATACGTCTGGAGAGAGCACACACGTTCAATATGGCTAAAGTACAGACTAAGACATCAGGATGGAGAGTCCCAGAGGCCAGATCTTGGTAGATCATGGCTAGGATTTTGGAACTTAACCTAAGAAGAAGGGAAGCATTGAAAGATTTTAAACAAGGGAAAGAAGGAATGAGATTGTTGTCTTAAAAAGGTCACCTGGTCTATGGTGTGGGGAATGTGAGATGGGGCTGTAGATGGATAGGGGAGACTAGAGTAAGGGAGACAAGAAGCTGTATTCTAGTCTAACCACATGTGAGAGACAAGATGACTTAATTTGAAGTGATAGTAGGGCAGGACTACGAATAAGAATACAGATTTCAGATATATTTACGATACCATGGGTAACACTGATATACCAACAAGTTGATTTGTAGAATAAGGGAAAGAGAGAGAGAAATTAAGGATAAAACTCAAAAGAGTTTTGGCACAGCAGTTGGGTGGATGGTGACATTCACTGTGATAGGGAGTATAGGAGCTTTTAAAGTTTTGCAGAAAGCTGATGTGTTTGATTTGAGATGCCTGTGTGACTTCCAAATGGATCTATACTATTGGCATTTGGATATACAGTATAGGTCTAAAGCTCAGATGAGAGAACTGAGCTACAGGCATAATTTGGGGCTTATCAGTTTATAGATTATAATTAAAATAGTTGGAGTGGGTAAGACTGGATTATATATATGTAAAGCAGATAGTCATGTTTTGAGAGGAAAGAGTAAAGGAAGAGATAGGAAAGGGTAAGACTTGAAAGCTCATTTAGGTGATAAAGTGATTTATTCTAATTTCTTAAGTTGGATGTATGTGATTTACTTAAGTACACTGGGTTAGGAAATCATATTGAAAGATTGGGAGTCAGGAAATGTGGCCTCTAGGTTTCGCTTTGCCAAGTGCTCTTGAGTCACATAATCTCCTGGCTTTGGTTTTCACATATATGAAAAATGATGTTCTCCTGTATAAACATCAGTGTTCCTCATATATCTCTAAAATTTCACGGTTGAGTTCCTACATGAAGATACTAAAAATTTAAAAAGTGAAGTGCAAAACTTTATCTAAAGTGAGATCACTCTTATTTAAAAGATAAGTTTAAGAAAAAAGGTGGAAAAAATAAACCAAAATGCTCCCATTGGTTGTTTTTGGACAGCAGACTGCTTCATATTTTTTTCCTTCTTCGTATTTCCAATTTTTAAAATAGCGTGCATTTTGTCATGAGCTGTATATTGATAAGCTACATGTAAGGAAATCATGAGAGAATTTCAGAAATTGAAATATAATAAACATAAATTTTTTTGCCACCCCGTGTAGCAGTCAGTCAATCCTTGAAAGGTTCTGTATATTCCAATTCATTATTTTGAGCCTATACACTATAAAATAGGATAGAGAATAGTTATATACTTTTTATGCATTGCAGGTTGCTATTTGATTCAGAGCTGCCATTACTTCTCCTTATGGCAAATGTCCAACTGACAGTGAACTGTTTAGAAGGGGATTTTTGTCAAAGTAGATGTGAAATTGTGGAATTTCCAATGCTACATATAAAAATAATGTTTTAAGAAAAATGCAAAGTTCCATTTCTTATTCACGTTTCCACTAGGATAGCTAGAGTTTTTATTACTGCTGTTAGTATTTATTTTAAGAAATTCCTGCCAAATGGAGAGCTCCTCAAAAAATTATTTTCCAAACAAAAATAATTTCTATTTTGGAAACTAAGAAATGTTATAGTTTGATTAATTTCCTTTTTTCTTTAAATCAAGCACTTAAAATTAGACAAGTATGAGGTTATGCTCTTTCTTTTAAATATCACTTAAAGTGATAATTTTCATGAAGGTAGGGACTATGTCTGCCTTATTAATCTTTGTGTCCACAGTGCACAGCACACATTCCTGCCAGTGGTGGGTACTCCTTAAATATTGTTCAATATACAAAAAAAATTCTTAATTACTGGTGGGCATATGGATTAATAAACAACATGTAGCTCATATGATCAGTTCTGCATATTTGCTTCAAAGATTTCAATACTGTAGACTTAAGTAACTGCAGTGAAAATAAAATATGATATAAATATCATTGGTTATTAACAAATCAGAATAGTAATGATGTGCTCAAAGTATGTATTCATTGTGATGCAACATTGCTATCTAAAGTGGTTTCTGGGAATAGGATCATGAGGGTGGGATTTACAGACCTCATGAATGTTTATGATAGATTGATAAGGAGCTATTAATGTATATTAATTGACAATTATGAGAAATTTTAAATTTTGTATTCTTTTTCAAGTTTATTTGAGGATAACACTGTCAACAAACATAAGAATATAGAGAGACTAAGACCTAAGAACTCGAGTATGGAGCGCTATAAATTTGCTGTTAATCATTTAGACATTTGTACAGCATCGTGTGGTGCTTCTGTCTCCTGACTCTGAGTGCACTCTGTCTTGTTAACAAGTTACAGTGATCTTCCAGTCAGGATGGGAGGGCAGAGGTTGAGGTTGGTATCCTACCTCTAGGTTTCTGCTACTTACTTGAGCTTTTACTTTTAAATCTTTGTTTGAGAAGATATAGAATACTCTCTCAGAAAATTCCTTTACCAAAACAAGTTAGGATGAAAATTTTAGAAAAACATTAAAAACAAACCAACTAAGAAAAACAGACTTCAAAGTTACAGCATTTTTCTTGCTTAGCAATATGTAGTTTCACATTTTCATTTAATTACTCTATATATTCTTATTATTTTCATACTTTCTATGGTAGATATCTTTTCAATAATATACAAAGTAACTTTGAAGGTGACTACTTTCACAACCTTTTTTAGAAAAATGTGCCATTGCATTTTGAAAATTACCTTTATAATCATTAAATTATGAATATGTATATTTTAAACTTTGAAATTGGCTTTCCTCTTCGGATGCTTTCTTTTCTGTGAAACGTCATGGTTCTAGAGTCTCATAGGTGATAACAACTTTGGTTCTGACTTGTTACAGACCCAGTTATACATGCATCTGACAAACTACTCTGTGAACAAGCACAATGAGCATTTTGAAAGGGATGAAACTGAAAACAAAGGCAGCAAACGTTCCATCAGATGGTTTACAGAATTTCTACAAGCAAATCAACATGATGTTGCTAAGTTTTGGAGTGATATTTCAGTAAGATTATACCATTTCACAATTTTAACTGTCTTTCCTCATATTAATTGAAAGGATCATCAACCATTTTAAATAAAAAACGGATTACATTAGATTGGGCAGATAAAGTGTGCTTTTATGAAGAAAGTGAAATTTATCATGGACCTTAATAGATAAGTAGTACTTTTACTGCTAGGATCGGAAAGAGGGAATGCTAAGCGGAGGCAAAAGCATGAGTAAAGGCATGGAGGTATGAAAATAGTTCAAAGTGGCCCAGGTTGGTGCATATCGTATTTGTGGGAGATACATGAAGACTTAATGGCTGGAAAGATATGTGGAGCCAAGTTTTAGGTCTGGAAATCAAGGCTTCACTTGGTAGGCAGTAAGGATTCATTCAGTTTTTAAGGGAGGAGATTAATAAGGCCAAAGACCATGCATGCATTTGAAAGATAAATCTGACAATGGGTATAGGATGGGTTAGAGTGAAGACCAGAAGTAGGTAGAGGAGGGCATTTGGGAGTAGTTTCAGGGAAAAGAATGGCCTGAATTGAACCACAATAAAAGAGGTGACAATGAAGTAGACCTTGAGATTAACTGAATGTTTAGAATGGGGAGGGGGGAAGAAGTATTCAGATATTCTTCTGCAGTTTTGAGGAATAATTATAAGGAGAATGGGTGTGGCCTTATTTGAAATAGAATAGGAAGGAATTTATTTTGAGAAGATGTAGAGCTTAGTTTTGCAGATGAGAGAAAAGAGTTCTATTCACTTATTTGCTAGTTCATTTATTCATTTATTCAGTAAACATTTATTGAACCCATAATATAAGCCTGTCCCTGGCTGATAATTTGAGGATTTATAAGATACAGCTCCAAGCCTCAAAAAACTCAAGAGTTTGGTAGGAAACACTTGCACATAAATTGTTAATGAAATGCAATGTAGCAAGTACAAAAACAGAGGCATACATTGGATTCTGTGGGGTCGTAGAGGAAGACCACATGTAGTAGCTTTGAGTGGATGGGCATAGCAGAACTTCCTGGAGGCATTGACACCTGAACTCAGTTTTCTAAAAGTCCATGAGGCTATGATGAATTCTACTTTCGATATGTTAAACTTGAAATGCTCTCTCAGGTAGAAAAGTTGAGCAGGCAGTTAAAAGTGTATGTATGAGGTGTAATGGATAATTAAAGCCATGGCAGTAGATGAAATTCCAAATGGTAAGGGTAAAGAGAGAAAAGGAAACATGTATGAGAAGATAACCTTGGTGAAACAGACCCTTTTATTAATCCTAGCAGAAATATTAAAATGGTATTCATAGTTAAGAAGAGTATGTTGAAAATACTTAACATGATAGGGCTATACAATTTGACTTCTGGGACAAGTAATATATATTTAAATAAAAATATCGTGGAAAATGGATGTGAAAGTTCATTGTTGGTTGAACTTGGTTCTCTTGAGAAAATCAGAGAAAAAATCAGCATCATTATATTTATTCCTTTTCTTAGTGTTTTGTTAGTTTGAATCTTTTTAAAAATCTTATTTTCTGTCTCACAGAATGTAAACCAGAAGATACTTAGGTGTCAGACAAGTAAAAAGGAGTTAAGTAGTCTGGATAGAAGAAAATAGGGCAGGCTGGGAACGGTGGTCATTTGAGGAGCGTAAGCGGTCTAAAGAGGATAGATATCACTCAGCACCAGCCTATTGGTGCCATGTGGTATTTTGGGCCCAGTGTGCCTCATTCTCTAATTGGTCAATAGATGCCCTAAGTCTCCTGATTTATAAATGTTGGCAACAAATTCAAAATTTTTAAAAATTTAGGGGTCCCATCAAATTTTAAAGTTTGTCATTTGGATTTGGTCAGATTCTCACCAACTTGTTAACTTTCTTTTATGTCTTCCTGAGAGACTAAATATTGATACATCCAAACAAGAAATTTGATTCCAACAATGCCATTTATTTATCTATTTACTTTATCAAGGCCAGTTTTTTTGAAATTCCAAAAAATATTCTAATAATGATAGTTTACTATCATGTGGGTCAGAAACATCAAAGTGGTAAAATTTGCAATTTTGATACAGTAGCTCAATGATGGAAGATCTACTTGGTGATACCTGGATGATATAATGAATGGGTCATTTGGTGACTAGCTCAGAGAGACCAAGAAAGTTTTAGATGCCCTCTGGTATTCTTTTTCTTTACCAGATTCTTCACTTCTTATGAGTTTGATTGTTCAGGGAAGTCTTTGTGAAAAGGTGCAATCTGTTGTGTTGCCTTGGGGAGGAATGTACGGAGAGAATCAGTCAGAGAGAAAAATGGATATCATTAGCTTTACAGACATTGGTTTTAAGTGGTACTTTCCCCACATAATTGAATTAGGACAAGGTATACAACTAAGACTAATACTAATAAGAGTATGGAAATTAACTCCTCAGAGCTTAAAATATAATTTTCAGATATTACTTGAACATAGCAATTGCCGGCCTATTAAGCTCTGATACACTGCATGATCATTTCTATAAATGGGTAAATTTTGCATCATTCTTGCCTACATTTGTTAAAATGTATATTAATAAATCTATAAGTAACCAATTAATAAATAATAACATTAACTTTTCCAAGTACCTTCTTACAATTATCTTGTCAAACTATCTGCACTTATGTAATTCTTTTAAGAATTGAAATTTGTCATGGACCTTAATAGATAAGTAGTACTTTTTCTTGTTAAGAATTGCATGTACTTACAGATGTCTGTTGAAGGTGAATCAATAGGATAGTATAAAAAGAGAATAAGAGGAGATGAAGAAGGCAACTGTGCAATAAATTTTTATCTTAATAGTTTACTAATTTCATGAATTTAACTTAGAACTTTTTTTTGGTGACTACTTTATTGATGGTAATTTCTCTAAAAAGTAGCTGTCTGCATATGAAAACTAACATTCAGCAATACCTTCTATGAAGAACAGATATATGTGCTTTTGTGCTGGTCAAGAATAAATAAGAAATCAATAGAAAAGCAGGCCATGGAGGTTGAAAATGACTTTAATCACTCATAAGATCATCCTTAATGAATGCTTTTTATATACTTTGGGTACAAATCTACAAAATCATCTTTCAAAGCAATGTTGGAAATTCTCAGAAGCATTAGTGGAATTTGATTTGATTAGTGGAATTTGTATTTGGTTGTATCATTACTGATTTCACATATACCTGCAATCTTGCCTCTGGATTCCTAAAATTGTGCTGTTTTTATGTAGTAAAAACAGATTTGTAATCCAGAGTCTAAATATTCATTCCCCCTCACTCTGCCCCCCCATCTCCCCACCTATCTTGTTTCACATAGACACTTACTAGTCAAGGTTTTAACTTCTTTTTCCTACTCAGGTGATTTCAGTAATATCTCAAGATTTATATAATGTGGACTTTTCTTTTTTATCCTCATATACTGTGGTGCTACCACACATTTGTTATTTTGAATAGAATTTTCTAAGAACAGCCTCTTGTGGCATCTCTGATATCCCCAAATACGTTCTGGGTTGGGATTCTTGGTAACAGCGAGGTTAACTTCATCTTCCATTTCTTTCTCTCATAATAAATACTGCTCCCACCAGGCAGCTGAATGTTTGTGTCTGACCAGACATATGAGGTGGAATTCCAGAAGAATAATAGAATAAATATAACTATAGTAGTTAAGTTGCTAACCCCTCTTGATGGTTTACTCTGTTCTAGGCACTATGCTAAGAGTTATACATGGAGTCTCATTTTGTCCTTCCATCAGTCTTTTGCAGCAGGTATTATTGCTATTGCCAGTTTACATTTTAGAAAAATGAGACAAAGTTTAAGCAACATGACTGAGGATGCACATTTAACAAGTAGCAAAGCCTGGGATAAAGCCAGAAAGTCAACTTTGGAGCCATTTTCTTAACTGCCATGCTATATTGCCTGTACCTGTAGAATGGGAGTTAAAAAGACAGTATATTCTAAGCAAAAACCAGCAAAACAGCTTTTCCACAATCCATAGCTTGTTCTCAAACTTCGGTAAACCAACTTTTTCTTTTATTAGCGTTAGTAACTCACCCTAGTAGTATTATGTGTTCTCACAGAAAATGTTGACAGCTAGTTTGTTAATTGGCAGTACTCTGATTTCAGATAAACCTTATGAACAACAGAATCATCACTGCACAGAGAAACCCAGCTCTCCTAGATTCTGTCCTCTTGACCTTTCAGGCTTTGTCTAAGTGGAGGTTCTATAATGTTGTTTGTTAAATAGTTTACTCTCCTTGGAATTGTCTTCCCTCCCATCCCCTTGCCTTCTGTATGGTTTCTGAGAAGGCAAGCATGTGATCCTACCTTACTTATTTAACAAATACAAGTCGCATTCATAAATTTTTATTTGTTCACAGGTGATCTTGAGCATTTACTAAATGACAGGCACTATTGTTAAGCACTGGGAATGGGGTTGTAAATAATACAGACAAGGACTCTGTTTTAACAAAAAAAAGAAAAAGATCAGCTGGTCCTATGCTGTGTAGTGACACAGTAATGAATGATGTACGGGTGCCTACTTTTGACTCAGGGGTCAGGGACGGACTCTCTGAGTATCAAGGGGCCAGACATGGGAATATTGGGGGAAGAGTGTTCCAGGAAGAGGGATCAGCTAGTGTGAGAGGCCTAGAGAAGAGGAGCATGGCTGGAGCACAGTGGGCAGGGGGAGAGTTGGGTGAGATGAAGTCAGAGCAGTGGCAGGGGTTAGATGCCACAGAGCTTTGTGAACCTGGCCAGGATGCTAGTTGGTAAGTCCAGGCCTGATTTCCAAGTATGTAAATGAGATACAAAGAAATAAGGCTTTTCATCTTTTTTTTAAATGACAATCTTTACAGGAATTGGTGGTAAAGACTCTGATTGTAGCAGAACCTCATGTCCTGCATGCATATCGAATGTGCAGACCTGGTCAACCTCCAGGAAGTGAAAGTGTCTGCTTCGAAGTCCTGGGATTTGATATTTTGTTGGATAGAAAACTAAAGCCATGGCTTCTGGAGGTAAGGCGTTTCTTTAAGAAGAAAGAGAACTGATCTCTCTTTTTTTTTTTTTTCTTTTGAATTTTATTTTATTTTTTTTAAACAGCAGATTCTTATTAGTCATCCATTTTATACACATCAGTGTATACATGTCAATCCCAATCGCCCAATTCACACCACCACGCCCACCCCCCTGCGGCTTTCCCCCCTTGGTGTCCATATGTTTGTTTTCTATATCTGTGTCTCAATTTCTGCCCTGCAAACCAGTTAATCTGTACCATTTTTCTAGTTTCCACATATATGCATTAATATACGATATTTGTTTTTCTCTTTCTGACTTACTTCACTCTGTATGACAGTTTCTAGATCCATCCACGTCTCAACAAATGACCCAATTTCGTTCCTTTTTATGGCTGAGTAATATTCCATTGTATATATGTACCACATCTTCTTTATCCATTCGTCTGTCGATGGGCATTTAGGTTGCTTCCATGACCTGGCTATTGTAAATAGTGCTGCAATGAACATTGGGTGCATGTGTCTTTTTGAATTATGGTTTTCTCTGGGTATATGCTCAGTAGTGGGAATGCTGGATCATATGGTAATTCTATTTTTAGTTTTTTAAGGAACCTCCATACTGTTCTCCATAGTGGCCGTATCAATTTACATTCCCACCAACAGTGCAAGAGGGTTCCCTTTTCTCCACACCCTCTCCAGCATTTGTTGTTCGTAGATTTTCTGATGATGCCCATTCTAACTGGTGTGAGGTGATACCTCATTGTAGTTTTGCAATTACATTTCTCTAATAATTAGTGATGTTGAGCAGCTTTTCATGTGGCTCTTGGCCATCTGTATGTCTTCTTTGCAGAAATGTCTATTTAGGTCTTCTGCCATTTTTGGATTGGGTTGTTTGTTTTTTTAATATTGAGCTGCATGAGCTCTTTATATATTTTGGAGATTAATCCTTTGTCTGCTGATTCATTTGCAAATATTTTCTCCCATTCTGAAGGCTGTGTTTTTGTCTTGTTTATGGTTTCCTTTGCTGTGCAAAAGCTTTTAAGTTTCATTAGGTCCCATTTGTTTATTTTTGTTTTCACTTCCATTTCTTTGGGAGGTGGGTCAAAAAGTATCTTGGTGTGATTGATGTCAGAGAGTGTTCTGCCTATGTTTTCCTCTAAGAGTTTTATAGTGTCCAGTCTTACATTTAGGTCTTTAATCCATTTTGAGTTTATTATTGTGTATGGTGTTAGGGAGTGTTCTAATTTCATTCTTTTGCATGTAGCTGTCCAATTTTCCCAGCACCATTTATTGAAGAGACTGTATTTTCTCCATTATATATCCTTGCCTCCTTTTTCATAGATTAGTTGACCATAGGTGTGTGGGTGTATCTCTGGGCTTTCTGTCTTGTTCCATTGATCTATGTTTCTGTTTTTGTGCCAGTACCATATTGTCTTGATTACTATAGCTTTGTAGTATAGTCTGATGTCAGTGAGTCTGGTTCCTCCAGCTCTGTTTTTTTTCCCTCAAGAATGCTTTGGCTATTTGGGGTCTTTTGTGTCTCCATACAAATTTTAAGATTTTTTCTTCTAGTTCTGTAAAAAATGCCATTGGTAATTTGATAGGGATTGCATTGAATCTGTAGATTGCTTTGGGTAGCATAGTCATTTTCACAATTTTGATTCTTCCAATCCAAGAACATGGTATATCTCTCCATCTGTTGGTATCATCTTTAATTTCTTTCATCAGTGTCTTATAGTGTTCTGCATACGGGTCTTTTGTCTCCCTAGGTAGGTTTATTCCTAGGTATTTTATTGTTTTTGTTGCATTGGTAAATGGGAGTGTTTCTATAATTTCTCTTTCAGATTTTTTATCATTAGTGTATAGGAATGCAAGAGATTTCTGTGCATTAGTTTTGTATCCTGCAACTTTACCAAATTCATTGATTAGCTGTAGTAGTTTTCTGGTGGCATCTTTAGGATTCTCTATGTATAGTATCATGTCATCTGCAAACAGTGACAGTTTTACTTCTTCTTTTCTAATTTGGATTCCTTTTATTTCTTTTTCTTCTTTGATTGCCATGGCTAGGACTTCCAAAACTATGTTGAATAATAGTGGTGAGAGTGGGCAACCTTGTCTTGTTCCTGATCTTAGAGGAAATGCTTTCAGTGTTTCACCATTGAGAACGATGTTTGCTGTGGGTTTGTCGTATATGGCCTTTATTATGTTGAGATAGGTTTCCTCTATGCCCACTTTCTGGAGAATTTTTATCATAAATGGGTGTTGAATTTTGTCAAAAGCTTTTTCTGCATCTATTGAGATGATCATATTGTTTTTATTATTCAGTTTGTTAATATGGTGTATCACATTGATTGATTCGCTTATATTGAAGAGTCCTCGCATCCCTGGGTTAAATCCCACTTGATCATGTTGTATGATCCTTTTAATGTGTTGTTGGATTCTGATTGCTACTATTTTGTTGAGGATTTTGTATCTATATTCATCAGTGATATTGGTCTGTAATTTTCTTTTTTTGTAGTATCTTTGTCTGGTTTTGGTATCAGTGTGATGGTGGCCTAATAGAATGAGTTTGGGACTGTTCCTTACACTGAAGTTTTTTGGAAGAGTTTGAGAAGGATGGGTGTTTGCTCTTCTCTAAATGTTTGATAGTATTCACCTGTGAAGCCATCTGGTCCTGGACTTTTGTTTGTTGGAAGATTTTTAATCACAGTTTCAATTTCATTACTTGTGATTGGTCTGTTCATATATTCTGTTTCTTCCTCGTTCAGTCTTGGAAGGTTATACCTTTCTAAGAATTTGTCCGTTTCTTCCAGGTTGTCCATTTTTTTGGCAAAGAGTTGCTTGTAGTAGTCTCTTAGGATGCTTTGTATTTCTGTGGTGTCTGTTATAACTTCTCCTTTTTCATTTCTGGTTTTATTGATTTGAGTCCTCTCCCTTCTTTTCTTGATGAGCCTGGCTAATGGTTTATCATTTTTGTTTATCTTCTCAAAGAACCAGCTTTTAATTTTACTGATCTTTGCTTTGTTTTCTTTGTTTCTATTTCATTTATTTCTGCTCTCATCTTGATGAGTTCTTTCCTTCTGCTAACTTTGGGTTTTGTTTGTTCTTCTTTCTCTAGTTTCTTTAGGTGTAAGGTTAGATTGTTTATTTGAAATTTTTCTTGTTTCTTGAGATAGGCTTGTTATAAACTTCCCACTAGAACTGCTTTTGCAGTTCTAGGTTTTGGATCATCGTGTTTCATTGTCTTTTGTCTCTACGTATTTTTTGATTTCCTATTTGATTTCTTACATGATCTATTGGTTATTTAGTAACGTATTGTTTAGCCTCCATGTGTTTGTGTTTTTTACGGTTTTTTCCCTGTAATTTATTTCTAATCTTATAGCATTGTGGTCAGAAAAGATGCTTGATATGATTTCAATTTTCTTAAATTTACCGAGGCTTGATTTGTGACCCAAGATGTGATCTATCCTGGAAAATGTTCCATGCGCACTTGAAAAGAAAGTGTAATCTCCTGTTGTTAGATGGAATGTCCTATAAATATCAATTAAATCTATCTGGTCTATTGTGTCATTTATAGCTTGTGTTTTCTTATTTACTTTCATTTTGGATGACCTGTCCATTGGTGTAAGTGAGGTGTTCAAGTTCCCCACTATTACTGTGTTACGGTCAATTTCTTCTTTTATAGCTGTTAGCAGCTGCCTTATGTATCGAGGTGCTCCTATGTTGGGTGCATATATATTTATAATTCTTATATCTTCTTCTTGGATCGATCCCTTGATCATTATGTAATGTCCTTCCTTGTCTCTTGTAATATTCTTTAAAGTCTATTTTATCTGATATGATTGTTGCTACTCCAGCTTTCTTTTGATTTCTATTTGCATGGAGTATCTTTTTCCATCCCATCACTTTCAGTCTGTATGTATCCCTAGGTCTGAAGTGGATCTCTTGTAGACAGCATATATATGGGTCTTGTTTTTGTAACCATTCAGTGAGCCTGTGTCTTTTGGTTGGAGCATTTAATCCATTCATGTTTAAGGTAATTATCAATATGTATGTTCCTGTGAACATTTTCTTAATTGTTTTGGGTTTGTTTTTGTAGGTCCTTTTCTTGTCTTGTGTTTCCCAGTTAGAGAAGTTTCTTTAGCATTTGTTGTAGAGCTGGTTTGGTGGTTTTGAATTCTCTTAGATTTTGCTTGTCTGTAAAGCTTTTGATTTCTCCATCGAATCCGAATGAGATCCTTGCTGGGTAGACTAATCTTGGTTGTAGGTTTTTACCTTTCATCACTTTAAGCATATCATGCTAATCCCTTCTGGCTTGTAGAGTTTCTGCTTAGAAATCAGCTGTTAACCTTATGGGAGTTCCTTTGTATGTTATTTGTTGTTTCTTCCTTGCTGCTTTCAATAATTTTTCTTTGTTTTTAACTTTGTCCAATTAGATTTTATGTGTCTCGGCATGTTTCTCCTTGGGTTTATCCTGTATGGGATTCTCTGTGCTTCCTGGACTTGGATGGCTATTTCCTTTCCCTTGTTAGGGAAGTTTTCGACTATAATCTCTTCAAATATTTTCTCTGGTCCTTTCTCTCTCTCTTCTCCTTCTGGGACCCCGACAATGCAAATGTTGTTGTGTTTAATGTTGTCCTAGAGGTCTCTTAGGCTGTCTTCATTTCTTTTCATTCTTTTTTCTTTATTCTGCTCCGCAGCAGTGAATCCCTCCATTCTGTCTTCCAGGTCACTTATCCATTCTTCTGCCTCAGTTATTCTGCTATTGATTCCTTCTAGTGTATTTTTCACTAAAGTTATTGTATTGTTCATCTTTGTTTGTTTGGTCTTTAATTCTTCTAGATCTTTGTTGAACATTTCTTGCCTCTTCTCGATCTTTGCCTCCATTCTTTTTCCGAGGTCCTGGATCATCTTCGCTATCATTATTCTGAGTTCTTTTTCTGGAATGTTGTCTATCTCCACTTTATTTAGTTCTTTTTCTGGGGTTTTATCTTGTTCCTTCA